TTGTAAAGAACAACAATGTTTTCAATCTTAAGTGTTGTTGTGGTTTAATTTCTGATAAGAGCCTATTGAGGACGGATGAGTCTTCACTGAAGTTTCTTAGCTCTACTTGGTTTAGGGCCACATCTCTTCCTTCTGTTTTGTCAAATTCCCCTGTAGATTTTCTTGACTGTACAACACCCAACAGATCACTATACTAACCAAATTCCCAATAGGATTTGTGGATGAATGTTTAGGGCCACAAACATAATCACCAAATTTTGCTAAAGAACCATAACTAATACATTCACATCGATTTACAAAAATGGATTCAAAACATTGAACATGTCTAACTTAGTGTAACGACATCTCTCAATAATTTAATTTTGTAGCATGAATTAGTTAAACGTGAGCCAAATAACTTAAAAGAATTTAGAAATATATATATATATATATATATATATATATATATATATATATATATATAGAAAATGCACAGAGCTTGTTGAAATAGAACTAGAATTAGAATATCTAAGTTGACTTATGTAAATGTATTCCATAAAATTAAACATGATTTAGTAGCATACCTGGATTATGGGAAAACACAAAGACATCTAGCATGAATCGATCCAAAAGAACAACCACAAATTGGGGATTTTGGAATGTGTTGTCTAAGAAATTTAAACTAATGTAAATCTCAACATTAAAGTCGTAAGAAGCCATAGACCCCACCATTTTCAATCTCATGGTTAAATGAGCTCTTTATACGAAGTCTAGAGAAAAAGGAAACCAGAAATTGGAGATGACGAATTGGGGAAGAACATGGCAGGACGAATCAATTGAACCCTAAACTAGGGGGTGCACATTTGTTTCTTCAGAGGCTACACATGTACATAAAATAATTGAGATTTTACACTACTACATAAAAGTTGAGGGGTAGTCCGTGCTACCCCTGGCTATTAGCTGGATCCGCCTCTGCTAAGGTTATATATTTTAAGTGACTACAAGACGTGTGTTTATCATATATTACACATGCAGAAACAATTCCAAATAAATACTAATTCTACCTTTTGATAGTTTCTCCAACTCTTTTAGTCATGCTTTTGTATTGTTGCATTTTTTTACTAGGTCAAACTAATTCTTGGTGATCATCATAGTGCAACATAAATCGTCATAAAAACGTAATTTAGATTCGTCATATTCAATAAGGCTCAAGATTTTACGTTTAAACTGGACCACAATGCGTTACAAATGCTCTGGTAACTTTTTGGTTTTCACTCATGTAGTTATAAAGATATTTATTTTGAAATTTAATTAGATATCCCTTTTAAGCGTAATAGTTTACTTGTCTCATCAAATCATTTTTTGGCAAGTAACGTCTCCGTATAACTGTTATCAGAACAGCATGCATGCACCAGACATTTTGATTTAGTGAACTAAAAATATACTACATATAATTATAAGGCTATAGGGAGTGGTCACCACCAACCCACCGAAAAACTACAGCCACTTTTACGCCACGTCAACTTCACCACCAACTCACTAGACATTGGAAATGGTTAACACTCCACAATATTCCTTTTATTATTATTTTTTATTTATTTAGCATTAAATTAATTAAAAAAAACATAATATGTATATATATATATATATATATATATATATAGAGAGAGAGAGAGAGAGAGAGAGAGCTGAGGGTTTAATTTAATTTAAAGATAAGTATAAGGATATAATGAGATACAAAGAAACATTTTCAAGGACCATATATGTAATTTCAATAAAATAGAAAATAGATGAAAGGGACGTTGCTGCTGCTCCTTATTTGCTATTGGTTGTCTTGGTCCGTCTTACCACTCACGCCACACCCAACCCATCTACCCTAGGAACGGTGTTCATGCGTCTCCAGGGCGTACACCTCATCATTCCACGCGTGGAACAAGCACCACTCCGGATAACGGATAGCCTAAGAGTAAAATGAACATGTCATATGCTCTGATGACACATTGCGTGGACAAACACGCGTCTATGCGTCTGGCTTTTCAAAAGTTCCATAGGATAAGTCAATGCGAATTGATGTACAATAACCTTTCCTAAAACGGTAAAAGCTACAACCATCGAAATCGCTATTATATTAAAGTTGGAATAAATGACAAAAAAACATTATAATTATATAGTGGTTTTAGATTTTCTTTACTGACGAATACATCAACTTTATTTTTTACCTTTTTACAATATTAACCATTAAATGCTTGCTTTTACCTTGGTAAAGGAAATACTCCATTTTAGTTGTCTCTAGAAAACCAATTTATATTTTATTATCTTAAGATGTCACCTACTATCACAAGTTGTCATCAATGGGTCCTAGTGACGTTATATATAAAATGTTTATAGGTTATTCAAAATTTTATTTATAGTATTGGCTTAACTCTAATTTTGTTATGAATTTAGTTTAAAACTTTTGTAATTACTTTGTTTTTAGAGTTAATTATATAAAAAAGTCTTATCCTTTGTGATTTTTTGTCGATTAAAGCTAATTTTATTTATTTAAAAAAATTGCTCCTTTTTATATTGAAACTTTAAGCAGGTTTAGCACTAACTTTTTAATAATATATTTTTTTTCCGAATAAAATTTTGTGTTTGGATCAACTTTTTCATTTCGACCATAATCTTTTTCTTATCATAGTGTGCTCATTTTGATAGATTTTTTGTTTTGTACTTCGATTTGGGGTAGATTTGGTCCGCCTTGAACCTGATGTTGTTGTAGGTTTTCACAAGTTGGTTAGTTTAGACCGCACTCGCAATGCACTACGATTTTTTCGTCGTTTGGTTATCTATAAAAAAACATGTTGAATCCATAATAATCACATTAGATACTTTTGAGACATGTTCCCCATCAATAGTAATATATTATTAATATCAGGGACAACAACTATCTTAGGCATTGCATTGTTATTCATTTTCAAATTAACAGTCACAAAATCTTTGTTAGCAAAAGCAAAAGTGTATGTTGCAAAAGACAGAATACAGAACCTTAAGTTAGCAAATCTAAAGCATTTAGTTTTTAAATTAGTAGACACATAACATCTAGTCTCCAAAATAACACACACATAACCATTTGTGATATGATTTCGTCCTAATTAGCATACTAAAAACCTTCGGTCTATGTATTAGCAAATGTAGAACCATTTGCATACGATTTCATCCAAGTTAGCTAACGTTAAACTTTCAATTCTTAAATTACTAGACGTAGAACCATCTATGATATTATTTCATCAACTTAGCATATACAAAACCTTCATTTTCTATATTACTAAGCATAAATATGATCCAACCACATCTTCCTTCAGCAAGAACATCATAACAATAACAACAATAAAAACATAGGAGTTATGATATTTAAAAATGAAAAAGTTTGTAAAATGTGAGGGTTTTTTCCAGAAACTAATTGTTTATTACCAAAAGATTACCGACTCACCTGCTAAGATGATCAAAACGAAAGAATTAGAAAAATATAGGTTTTTTTCTTAAAATAAAAGGTTCATATTTAAACATGAAAAAGTCCCAAAATGTACGGACTTCAATAAAATTAATCATTGTTTTTACATGATTTCGAAAACTCAGTTTTTGACAAAATTATATATTTTATAGTATTTTAATAGCTTTATATATTTTTTACAACTTTTTTCACAATTCTTTTAACAATTTAGTCCTTTATAAAAACGTGTGCTCCCGTATTCTCGACAAAGAATTTTGTTCCCTTCCTTCATTTCCATAATGGTTAGATAGTATGCGTCTCCTCCATTTGTTTGATAGTGATCCTTATCTACAGAAAATTGTTTGTGCATTATCTACCATTCCTTAATCGCACACTGTTTTCACCCTACAAAACAAAAAAGTATATTACAAGGGTCGATTTGTTATACCAGCATCATCCATATGGATGCAATGATTATTTGATGAATTCCATTTTAGTTCTAGTAGTGTCACTCTGTTTTACAGGACATATCATAGCCTTGCATCCAAACTTTGTTAGATCAGTATGGCAAAATAGTCCAACAATATGTCCAAGCAAGCAATACTTGCGAACAATACAAGTCATCTACATTGTCACCACGAGGTCTCTTCTAATCCTTGTCTATTCCGTTTGTTTTCTGGGTGGATATCTCCCTTTGTTTTTATATTCGGTTTACCAAAAATATAACAGCTACAATTGGTCTTGGTGGTAGTCGGTCATCTTTCTAATTATTGCCATTTTATTTCCACTTAAACATTGTCTCACAAATTGT